CCCGTGGTGGGTAGAGCATAAATAACCCATTAAGTAGCTTTGTACTTAATTACAAACAAACTTTCTGTAGTTTCAAGATAATGAATTTTACATTATCTAAATATTTGTACTGAGATATAATTTATGTTTATAATGTGACGAAACACATTAATTTGTCATTTATATCTCTCAACTAAAGTGATCAAGCTTTTTAAATAGTATTATGATAAACTGAAGTCAACTTCTTAATATTTTGTTTAATAATCTTTAAATCGATATCTGGATCATCATATTCAGAGATGTAACATATTGCATTATATTATTTTATGCAGTCGTCATATTTAGGTTCTCCCGGTGGCTTAGCGGTAAGTCTGAGGGTAAAATTCTGGTTTTGATACCTGCGGTGAGCAAAGCACAAATAGCCAATAAAATATGTAGCTTTGCGCCTAGTAATAAATAAACGAACGTCACATTTAGAGATGTAAGAAATATTATGTGACACCATTTCAGATCGCCATCTAGTGATAATTTAGTGAAATGATAATACTTATATTTGGGTATGAGAGATAATGACAATTAAAAAGATGACACAGCAGGTAGAAAAAGCTACTTCACAAAAAAAAGATTCAGCTTAATCTAATGTCTGCTGATCCGAATGTACTTTGTTATGGAAACTAAAGTTGTCTTACCTGCCTTTCCTCCAGTTTATCATTTCAAAATTAGGGACGGCTAGCGAGCATATCCTTCGAGTAGCTTTGGGCAAAATTCAATGAAAAACAAAACAAAAATCAAAAACTTTTAGGATTTGAAAAAAACAAATTTATAAGACCACTTCAAAATAATTCTTTTTGGAGTTGTATGTGAGATTATTAACTAGTCTATTCATCTAAAATATACAATTGTATAAAAACTACCAGAAGAGCTGTTAAAAATCTATAATAACAATTGATAATATTTTGTCATAATTATGAAAATAACAGGCAAACCACAAACAGCCTTCATGGCCACTCTGCCTTAGGTCATCAAATGTGTATCCTCAATTACTATCTGAGGTTCTATGTTTCTGTGGTGAAGTATTTTATTGTCCTCATGTCAAATTTTATAAAAAAAAATTATCATATTTTTGCCTTTTTGGAGTTTATACTTTTATCAGTTATAAATATAACTAGTTAGCTTTCACTAGCAGTGTGTAACAAATTTGAATTTACATAACTTGTTTTTTTAGTATACAGTAACGAGAAAGGACTTCTCTCCTAGATGTCGTTATTAAATAGTTGCTGCTCCAAAGTTATGTTTCACATTTTTATATCCAATTATGATAATTCGGTAGTCGGAGAAATGCCGATTCACCGAGAGTAAAATAGATTTCTTTGTTTATGAAAAGGATGAAAATGTGTGTATCGTGTTTTCAGTTTCTAATGAAATATTTTCAAATCTCAAATGAACCAGTTTAATGTGATAAGTCAGAACAGAAATTCGTTTCTACGTTTCAATCAAAGGAAATTAAAAATACATTAAAATCAATTATACACCACTCGAATGATGTATCTAAATTGTCATGGCAAACAAATACCACTCATTTCAAAGAATCGTTTAGCTGACAAAGTTTAGATCGAAAGAACTCCTGGTGAACATAAGATAAACCTTAATTACTATTTCAGAACGTCTAAAATCCATAATGGCTAACTTAGAGGAACAGTGGAGAGGGGAGATTACTTAGAAGCAAATATTATATACATATTATTTATTTGCAAATCTGGCCCAATACAAAGAGAGGTTATCATCCATTTACTAAGAGTAACAATGTAATCATAAGTTAAACAACAGCGATACAACCACAATACATGATTCTATTTCTCTTCCACTTACATGGGTGATAACGCCTGGTGGCACTACATTTTATGTTCAACTGATAGCGATATAAGTGTTGAAGTAGTTTATCATGATCAGCATTTAAAATTTTTAGTACTTTCAGTATCCATTTCCATATTTTCTTAGATTTTGTTGATGTGAAAGCAATAAACTTTACACATGCCCTTGTTTTATAATTGTGTCAATTCCTTTTTACATTTTAACTTATAAACTATCTATCAGATGGAGCTACAATATATTAACAGAAATGTTTGTTTTTTTTAATATTTGAGTTTAGATAAGCCTATACATATTTCTAGTTTGGGAGATATGTATAACTACAGGTGCTGTAAAAATTTCATAAGAATTTCAATAAATTAACGTTGTACCTCTGTGGTATTTAATGCTAAAGAAGAGATAAGCTCAGTAAACACGGGTTTGGTCGCTAGGAAGCACTATAGATTGAAGTTGCTTAAAAGCCTTCTTTCTATAATTGGGCATTGGTTGAACATGCATACAAACAAATTTTACACGCAAACACATATATATAGTTAACAGAGTAACTTAAGGTTTTTCCATGCATAGATATTCGAACAAAGTGAACTAATTGAAGGTAAAAACATTTTTTCATCACCATGATTACCTGAAGTTTACAAAAATTATAATATTTTATTTCCTACCTAGAATCTTTTCTTATTGTTTTTTTTTTTGGGGGGGGGGGGTGAAGTGGTGGGGAGGTTCTACTTACACAAAAGTTCATATGTTTATGTACTAATATAACTTCAAAAAGATTTTTGCCACAAAGCCTGGTCCAAGTTTTAGAATTAGAACTTTCACAAAATAAGAGCAAATTAAAACCCTATTTTTTTTACACCAGGAAATTATTTCGGTCCAAATCTATCGACTTTGTTACATCTGTGCATTTTTTCAAGTAGATAAAAATGTGTCTGACAAAATATTATGTTTCTACCATTAAAAAGCCATAGACGAAATAATTTAAAATCTGTTTCTTTTTTTAATGGTTATTAGTTAATTGTACACATTTAAATATTTGAAAATTTGTATATTTATGTCTTCGCAGAGAGACATACTGTTTTCTATTGTTTCATCTTCTACTTTTTTTTTCTTCTTCCAAACACTTTTCAGTCGACTGCCATTACTTCATTTCTCGGCTGACTGACTTGAAACTTGGTAGGGATATACCATGGTACTATACGTTTTAAGGATTTTATAGGTTCAATGGTTAAAGAACCCAAAAATTGGGCCCCTACAACCATCTGGTTTTAATGAACGCTTTTCTTTCCTGTAGATTTCTATTTTCCATTTTTTGTTTAAATTTTAATTGCTATCTTGTTTAAATATTAATTGATATGTACTTATGTTTTCATGACTTGTAATTTTTATGTAATAGATGTAAATTTTGCTTAGAATGTTCACGCTCAACATTCCAAGTACTAAGCACGCAAGTTCATTGAATTTTGCGCATGCGCCTTTGTTGTAAACTGTACGACCTGACGAAGAACGCTATCTCGAAACGTCATCCTTCTCTATATAAAAATATATTAAAACTTGGCGATTGTTCAACCTATTATTTAATTTAATATTTTCGTCGCCTATGCGGTTTCAACTGTATTTGTCTTTTTAACATACTGAGTACCAACAACCCACTTACTCTTAATAAAAAAAATAAGTAAAATAAAAAGTAAAGAGCAAAAGCAAATATTAGTTTTACACTTCAGAATAAGCAGAGAAATATAAAGCTAAACTTAGAGTAACACTTTGTTATTTCGCTGCTACAGTGCATTTAATTCACAATTAGCTAATAATAGTTTTATATATATTGTTGCGTCAGCGAGTCACATGACTACTGTGACGCCACGTTTCTAGAACTATCCTGTACTTTGTCGAATGCTCTA